AGGCTCCAAGTGCACAGCAGGGTGCTGCCTGTCCTGTCAGGTGGGACTCAGCCCTACAGCAGTAGAGGGGCCAGAAGGACAGGCCATAAGCTGACCGAAGCCATGGTCATGTGATGGGAGTGAGTGGCCCCTGGACTGGAGCTTGAAAACATAGCTGCGAGGTCAGCCAGTCACCCACTGCCCCCAGAGGCCTCCTGTTGGAAGCCAGCCTGGTTCCCCTGTGGGTGGGGAGGACATCTGTGGCTGTTAGGGCCTCCTCCACCGCAGGAAGCGCATCCCCTGAGTCCTCTGGGGGCCCAGAGCCAAGTCAGGCCGGGCCTTGGGCTGGTGAGCTCACGCGGGGAGAGGTGTCAGGCTCAGAAATAAATAATTACAACACACAGGTCAGGTCCAGGGTTGGACAGAGGGCGGTCCCCACGGAGCCTGGGCTGCTGAGGGCACCGCTGCACACAGAGGCTGGGAAGGGGCCGTGGTGTGTGTGGCGGGGCTGTGCACCGGGGCTTGAGGGTGGGTAGGTAGAGCCAGCACACTTGCTCAAACCTGGTCTGTGCAGCACACTCTGAGGCAGGTGACCTTGGGCTGGTGACTTCCTCTGGAGTCCCAGCTTCCTCATCTATCTAAGGACATGCAGAACAAGGACACCCTGCTGCTGCTTTAGGGGGAAGTAGATTCACAAAGAGTACCCTGCACAGGGCTGGCCCACCTTCGGCCCCAGCCCCAACAGCTGTTGGTATTTGTCCTGCTAGTTCATCTGTATTATTTAAGGATATGGAGAATGCGACCTGCCAGAGAGGAGGGGAGGGAAGGGTGCACGGCCAGGGGCAGCTGTCCTGAAGTTCAGAGCAGACTGCCGCGTGGCAGGGCTGTGGGGAAGAGGAAGGTGGGCAGGAGCAGGAGCCGTGGCAGGGCCAGATCAGGGAAAGCCAGGCTACCCCTGTGTGGCTCTTGGGTTCGGGGCAGGGTGGGCGCTGGAGGTGTGGCGCAGGGAAGAGGCTGCTCAGGTTTGCTGCCTTGGCCAGGGTTCCCAGAGAGCAGAGCCAAGCCACAGCTTCTGTGCCCTTTGTCTTAGTAGGGTTAGGGGACCCAGGAAGCAGGAGATGGCGTGGCAGGGTCAGAGACTGGCAAGGACACAATTGTGAGCAGAATACCACCAAATGTGATTGGGAGCCACCTCGGAGCAGGCGAATTCTGCACTTTGGGACTGTTCAGGCAGGGAGGTGGGCAGAGCCCTTCTCCCAGTGGCCAGAGGCTTGTCCCGTGGCATTCACTGCCCTGCATTTCAAGTGGTGCCCACGTGGGCCCTGATGAGGTCTGATGCGTCTCGCTGGTGGGGAAGTACTGAGTGGGGCTCTGGATTCTGCTCTGGGCAGAGCTGGGAAGAGGACCTGTGAGGCCAAAGGCCTGAGGAGGGGCCCAAGCGTTTAGGATTCATTTATCACATAGAAAGCTGCTCAGGTCACTGCTGCAGTGAGGACAGCCCCAGGGCCTCATCAAGGAGCTGAGAATAAGGTGCCTGGGCAGGAGGGAGGGACCAGGTGTGGGGGGGTGGGCACTGGCCTCATCAACACACTTGCTTATTGCCCATGCCAGTCACCACCGGGCTGGAGAGAGCAGGGCCCACCTGAGATCACACCTAATATGGTCTGTGTTGCTAGCCCAAGCATGGTGCTGAATGACAAGTGGCCTTCAGCCTCAGTTTCCCCAGTAGCAGCTCCCTCTTGAGATCTCCAGTGAGCTCACACATGGCCTGTCCTGGTGAATCAAGGTCAACAGAGGGCTGGTGGGTAAGGTATTGCCTATGGGCCCACTATGTGCTGGACTCTATCAAGTTCTGGGGACAATAGTAACCATCCAGAACCCTTGTTCTGAAGAAGAAGAAGACAGGCAATAAACAAGGAACCAATTAATTTTTACTATAATCTCAGGTCATGTTCCTTTTGTTTGAGATGCTGGGGATGGAACCCGGGCGGGCTCTACCACTGAGCTATATCACCAGCCCTTTTTGGTTTTGATCTTGAGACAGGGTCTAAGTTGCTCAGGTTGGCCTCAAACTTGCATCCTCTGATTTTTGTTTGATTTAAAGCAAGGTCAAAGGCCAGGAAGTAATGGGATGGGGGTGGACTGGGTGATCAGAGAAGATCTGAGGAGGTGGCCCTTGAATAGGGTCACAAAGGGAGGGGGTAGTCGGCCAGATCTAGGGGCGGATACAGGATGTGAAGAGTCGGCTTGGAAGTGCTGCAACCCAGCGGTGCCCCCAGCAGCCTCTGTGTGGCAGCAGGTAGTAGCAGAAGGGACGGTTTCAGGATTTGTTCCAGCAGGCGCACCAAGGCACAGGGACAAGAGCGCAGGGGAAGGGAAATGGGGCCAAAGTTGCTGCTGGAGTTGAGGCTACAGGTGGTAAAAGACGGCCTCATGCGCCCTTTGTGGGTCTGCAGACTGAGGCTCTGCCCCCGGGGCACACAGCTGACTGGTGTCCCCACACAGCACCCCTGAGCCCTGCCTGTCTCTGCAGGAATGCTCGCCCTATGCAGCCCACCTCTATGACGCCGAGGACCCCTCCACGCCCCTGAGGACGGTGCCGGGGCTCTGCGAGGACTACTGCCTGGACATGTGGCAGACGTGCCGGGGCCTCTTCCGCCACCTCTCGCCCGACCGCGAGCTCTGGGCCCTGGAAGGGAACCGAGCCAAGTTCTGCCGCTACCTGTCCCTAGATGACACGGACTACTGCTTCCCACGCCTACTGGTCAACGAGAACCTCAACTTGAACCTAGGCCGAGTGGCGTCCGATGCCAAGGGCTGCCTGCAGCTGTGCCTGGAGGAGGTGGCCAATGGGCTGCGCAACCCGGTGGCCATGGTCCATGCCCGGGACGGCACCCACCGCTTCTTCGTGGCCGAGCAGGTGGGGCTGGTGTGGGCCTACCTGGCCGACCGCTCGCGCCTGGAGAAGCCCTTCCTGAACATCAGCCGCGCCGTGCTCACCTCGCCCTGGGAGGGCGACGAGCGGGGCTTCCTGGGCATCGCCTTCCACCCCGACTCCCGGCGCAACCGCAAGCTCTACGTCTACTACTCCGTGGGGGTCGACTTCCACGAGTGGATCCGCATCAGCGAGTTCAGGGTCTCCGAGGACGATGAGAACGTCGTGGACCACGGCTCCGAGAGGTGTTTCCCCAGGCCACCGAGGGTGGGAGCCGGGCTGCCATGCGGGGCGTGGGCACGTGCCCTGGTGTGAGCCTCACCAGGCGGTTACTAAAGACCCACACATTTAAACCGCAGCAGGTTTAAATCCCCTGGTGGGGCACTGAAGTACATGCCCTGGGGCCTGGGGAGGGCCGCTTCTGGAAACCGGAAGCGGTTCAATGGAACTGTTTCCTGACCCCTCCATCTGGCCTCCAAGGCCGCTCAGCTCTCCCCCAACTCTCCAGGCACTCGAGATGGTGGCTTTCATGTGGTTCTCTTAAAACCCAAGTAGTTCGTGTTGTTGGTCCCATTTTTCAGATGAGGAAGTGGAGGCTCAAAGAGGTCAAGAGACCTTTCAGGTTTCAGCAGGAACCCTGCTCTGGCCTCCGTGTCCCCCCCCCCAGGGCATCCTCTGCTCCTGGAAACTTCCTTCCTCCAGCTCCCACCCATTCCCACCCCCAGGTCCTTCCTCAAGGCCTACACAGATGGCTCCCTGTGCATTATATATGCTCCAGCTGGTTGTCACATTGGGGTTGAGCTGGCCTGCCCCAGGGGCTCACTTGCCAGCCTGGGTACAATGGGGAAATAGCCCCGTATCAGAGACCCAACAGGTAGAATCTGATACTGGAAAATAGTTGCACAGGGGTTAGGACAATGAAAGGGCAACCGCAGGAAGGGAGGCCACTCTGAGCTGCAAGTGGGGGAGCTGCCCCCACCCCTAGAGCTGGACAAAGTGGGAAGGGGGGCTTCCTGGAGCCCAGGAGCCCTGGAGCCGGGGCCACCCAGTGACAGCTGGCACCATGTTGGGCCTGGGCAGATCAACTAGACCCAGAAAGGAGGTGCAGTTATTGCCAGAACCCTACCTGAAACAGAGAGGGCTGTCCTCCCCACTCCAGTCGAAGTACTGCCCATTGGCTGAACCATTTCAGCCAGCAAAGGAACATGGGAAGTGTAGTTTGCAGACGCAGGGAAGGGGAGGGTCAGCCTGGGTCAGAGGGCAAACAGGCAAGTAACATCACGTTGTATATTTGATCAAACTGTAACATCTTGACATTAAACATAGAGAAAGGACGAGTGACCACCAGACAGGCTGTCTTGGTGAGCTAATGGGGCTCTTGCCGTACAGCACTAATTTTGTTTTTGTGTTTGTTTTTGGTACTAGAGATTGAACCCAGGGCACTTAACCACTGAACCACATCCCCAGCCCTCCTCCCTTTTCTTTAATTTTTTTTTTTTTTTTAATTTTGAGACACGGTCTTGCTACATTGCTTAGGGCTTCACTTAGTTACTGAGGCTGGCCTCAAACTTATGATCCTCCTGCTTCAGTCTCTAGAGCAGCTGACATGCCTGGCTCCAGCATTAATTTTGACTACGAGCTTCCTGGCAGCTGGATCAAAAAGAGAAAACATGATTCTCACAATCTTATGTGAACCCATGCAACTACTTCTCCATGAAAGATTATTTATCATATGAACCTGACAAAGGGAAGATGGAAGGGCAGAATGAAAGTACCTTCAACAGTGACTTAAAAAATGGTTCCTGACAAAACTTAAATTGGAACCCAGAATATACAGAGGAACATATTTAAGAGTGAGGGCTCATTAAGGGTCTTCTGGAGACATCATTTGTTCAAGCCTGAACTCATTTAGAGGGGGACATAGGCATGGCTGGCCGAAGGCAGGTCAGGGAAAAGCAGTCATCTTTGCCCAAGCTGACTGGCAGTCTCTTCATTTATGTAGTTTGGGGGATACTGGAGATTGAACTCAGGGGCCCTCGACCACTGAGCCACATCCCCAGCCCTATTTTGTCTTTTATTTTAGTTGCTTAGCACCTCATCATTACTGAGGCTGCCTTTGAATTTACCATCCTCCTGCCTCAGCCTCCAGAACCACTAGGATTACAGGTGTGTGCCTCTGTGCCCGGCGGCTGTCAGTCTCTTTATCTGGGGCTGGGATCCCGATGGAAGGTGGATCCTGCAGTCTGAGCTGTGCTCTGCAGGAGGCCCTGGTGCTGGGTCCTGTATTGCTCACCTCCTGCTGTGCATTAGTATCCCAGTGCAAAGGCTTCCAGCCCCGGCTCTGAAGGACTCAAATCCAGGGTCCAAGTGACTTTGCCTTTCTGTATCCTGGTTTTTCTTATCTGTATTAATGAGAGTTTATCGAGTGAGTAGCCAATCCTGGAGAGTTAGAATATCTTAAGTTTATTTCAATTGGAGGATGATGATGATGATGATGATAATGATGATGATTTGGATACCAGGGATTGAACTCAGGGGCACTCAACCGCTAAATCATATCCCCAGCCCTTTTTTTGTATTTTATTTAGAGACAGGGTCTTACTGAGTTGCTCAGAGCCTTGCCATTGCTGAGGCTGGCTTTGAACTCGTGATCCTCCTGACACAGCCTCCCAAGCCACTGGGATTACAGGCATTCGGCACCACACCCGGCTCAACTGGAGGATAATTTTTTCAGTCCTGGGCATTGAACCCAGGGCCTCATACCTGTTAGACAAGAGCTCTACCAGTGAGTTTCACCTCAGTCCTTTTTATTTTGAGACAGGGTCTCCCTAAGTTGCCAGGCTGGCCTTCAATTTGTAATCCTCCTGCCTCAGCCTCCTGAGTATCTGGGATTACAGGTGTGCACCACCACACCTGACAGGAGGGAATTTACACAGAGAATTGGCTACCCAGGCGTTGAGAGGGCTGGAAGAGGACCAGAGGAAGGATCAGTTTCCTGAGATTAGTGGCTATAACAAGCTACTGCCGATCTGGGACAGGAGGAACAAAGGGGAGAAGGTGTTTGTGCAGGTGTGTCTGCCCTGGGTCAGTGTTAGCCACCACTGTTGCTGGCTCTGCACCTGCTGTTTTTGGAGGTGGAGCCAGAGGTCAGAGACCTGGCTTCTCCCTCCTGCCTTCTGCTCCCCAGCAGCAGACCCTGACCTGAAGCTGGCTGGCTGGGGCATAGTGGGAAGTTCCCTGCATTGGCAGTCAGTGGGTCCCGTCCCCAAGGCAGGGTGGGGAAGCCAGGACCATGGAGAAACCAGTTGAACCAGTGGTCAGGTGGACAGTTTCACATAATTATAGTAAGGCAAATGCTAGCATAGAGAGTAGTAGAAAACAAAACAAAACACTGAACCAGAACTCGAAGATTTGAGTTCTAGTCCCAGCTCTGCTACCTAGGCTATGAGACTTTGGGCCAGTCGCTCAACCTCTTTATCCCAGCTCAACGTATTTACCAGGTCCTTGTGAAAATCACTTGTTACAAAGGATATAAAAGGTCTTTTCTAGCTGGGCATGTGGCACTCACCTGTAATCACAGTGATTTAGGAGACTGAGGTAGAAAGATCGCAAATTCAGGAACAGCCCCGGCAAGACTCTGTCTCAAAATAAAAATAAAATAAAATAAAAGGGCTGGGATGTGGCTTAGTGGTAGGGCACCCCTGAGTTCAATCCCCAGTACCAGAAAACAACAACAACAGCATTCTTTTCTCCATTGTGAAATGACATCCAACAGAGAGGAGGGTTCATTGTTGTGATCTTGTTTTTGTTTGTTTGTACGTTTATGTGTCGAAGGCTGAGTTTTCATTGTTGGGGGTTTATCTTCCTTTAGGATAATCCTGGAGATTGAAGAACCAGCTGCCAACCACAATGGGGGTCAGCTGCTCTTTGGGGACGATGGGTACCTGTACATCTTTACTGGAGATGGCGGGATGGCTGGAGACCCCTTCGGAAAGTTTGGAAATGCCCAAAACAAGTATGTTCGGCTTCTAGTTGTCTGGTACCTTGGAGGGCACTCCGGGGCTTCTGGCACTCTTTTGGAGCCAGAAGTGACTTTCTTAGCCAAGCACCTTGGATGAGTAGGGAAGGGTCTGGGAACCAGCTCAGCCTGCAGCTAGCTGAGGATCCCAGGCAGTCACTGGTTCCCATCAATTACAGGGGAATGATAATCATCTCCATGGGAGGCTCCCCGGTTTACAATTGCCCAGAGCCTGATTCTCACAGGTGCCTGATAAGTGACATCAGTGACCCCCTGGGAAGGTCAGCCCAGCTCTGAACAGGGCCCTGCTGGAGGAAGGTGTGAGGTGCTCCCCAGATGGATCAGAGCAGGGTCTTTATGGACAGGTGGGTTTTCTGCCCCAGGGTCACTCACAAAGACCCAAATTCGGAAGTATAATCTCGGCCTCATTTACCCACCTGCTGGCTTGAGCAAATGGCCTACCCTCGTGCCTCTTTATGCATGCACACCCACGGGTGTACACCCTTGTGCATGTAAATGAGGATGTTGAGGAGTCTCCGGCCTGCCTCTTCCATTTCCTTAGCCAAAATGACAAACCTCCCTTAGCCCAGGAAGTCAAAATAGAAAGGGTGATATTGATTACTGTAATTAAAGTGCTCACAATTTGTGACTTATGCTTTTACATGTGATAGTGTAAGAATCATCCGAGCTTTCTCAGTTTGCAATGTGTTCAGAGATAAAATTGAGAAAATATAAATTAAGGATTTGTGGATAATTGGATGGGACTTAAAAACATTGTTTTGCTGCTATGCGGTTTTTGCCCACTCGCATCCTGAGGCATGATGCCTGTTGTGGCTCAGGATGTGAGCAGCCCAGGGCGCGTGGAAGGAGCTGCTGGGGAAGCTGGGAGGCCTGTGGTGGGGACCCTGGCATCACTGGGGGAGTGTTTTGTCACCATTAGCAAGACACCTGTGAGGTGTCTCTACTGATGGAGGAACACTTGGGTGCTAATTCTTGTGGGAATGACGGCACACACAGTTGTGTCAACTGGGCAAAGGACACCAGCCCTGCCTTGAAAGGCAGCCTGGAGGGAGGGAGTCCACCAACACCCAGAGGGGAGATCAGAAACCAGGTGAGAGGCCTGCTCCCCTCCACACCATCTCCAAGCACAGCACAGATTTTTCCATGTGATTTTTGTCATGTGACCAGTGGAACCAAAAGCTACTCCCCCGCCCACTCACAGAGCTGCACAGAGGTTAGAGCTGCTAGCAGCTCCCACCTTCTCCCAGCCCTCCCTAGCTTTCTGCTTGACACATATGACTTTGATCACTGACTCAACACTTGATGTCATCTACTAGGTGGGATCACTGGGCTGGGTCTGGAAAAAAAACTAAATATGAGTCACTTTCTAGTGTAATCCTCACTGGCTAGCATAACCCTGTAAACAGGAGGGCAGAGCAGAACCCTCTGCCACTATGGAGGACACTGGGCTTCCATAGAGGGTCTGGAAAAGGTCTTGGGGTTCTGGGCCAGCCGTCTGGGCTGGATCTCTGCTCTACCATTGATTATCCGGGTGGCAGGGGGACACTTTATCTGACTTTTTTTTAGCTTAGCTGCCGTCTGTAGAACTAGATCATAACAGTACTCAACCTTAAAGTTTCCTTATGGCCATGAAGTGGGACAATAGATGACTTTAGGTCCAATGCTCTGGACAGGGCTTGGCACCCAGTTGAAAGGATGCACGAGGCTGTCCAGCTGCCAGTAGTGAGGAGCACCGCACCGGGGTCTCTGCCGCATAGCTGGGGCTCACCCTGCACCGGGCCCCGTCGCTCAGCGTCCTGGGGATGGTGCGCGATGACACCCCGGCCTCTCGCCCGTCCGCAGGTCGGCGCTGCTGGGCAAGGTGCTGCGCATCGACGTGAACCGCAACGAGCGCGGCCCCCTCTACCGCATCCCGCCCGACAACCCGTTCGTGGGCGACCCGGCCGCGCGGCCAGAGGTCTACGCCCTGGGCGTGCGCAACATGTGGCGCTGCTCCTTCGACCGCGGCGACCCGGCAACGGGCGCGGGCCGTGGGCGCCTGTTCTGCGGTGACGTGGGCCAGAACAAGTTTGAGGAGGTGGACCTGGTGGAGCGCGGCCGCAACTATGGCTGGCGCGCCCGCGAGGGCTTCGAGTGCTACGACCGCAAGCTGTGCGCCAACGCCTCCCTGGGTGAGCCTGCGCCCGGACCCTAACCCAGATCCGCCCAACCCTCCCCTCGGCTGCCCAAG